GCTCCACCTTTACAGTTACATCTGTAGAAATAATTCAATAGGAATTGCCCTTTTCTACCTTAGCCTCAATTTTTCTTTTACTAAGTGGACAATAACACTGCTCTGTTAAATGAGTGATTTTGACCCTGAATCTTCTGTGAAGGAAGATGTGTGTGTGTGTCGTACTCTGCATATATAAGCACTTGATTGCCAGTTCACACACAAGTTTATGAAGCTCTATTTCTACTATAATTGATTAGTATTGTTTTTATTTCACATTAAGTTTAGAATAGAAAATATGTTTTAAAGGCTTTTATTGGTCCCTTCTACCAAGTAACCAGCGGTAGAATGAGAGGAAATGGCCTCAAGTTGTGCCAGGGGAGGTTTAGACCGGATATCAGAAAAAAATTCTTTCTTGAGAGAGTGAGTGGTCGAGCATTGGAACAGGCTGCCCAGGGAGGTGGTGGAGTCACCATCACTAGAAGTGTTCAAAAAACGTGTGGACATGGCACTTCAGGACATGGTTTAGTGGGCATGGTGGTGTTGGGTTGATGGTTGGACTTGATCTTAAAGGTCTTTTCCAACCTTGATGATTCTGTGATTCTGTGTGACTTGCATTCTAGCTTGTGCCTCTGTACATAGGTTTAAGGCTAGTTGAAAGCTAAAAAGTGTGTTGCAAATGCATTTGCACAAATGCCATGGTCTCATTCTGTTTGTTCTCTTTAAACATATTTATATGGTAACATACCAGCACCTCAATTCATCCAGAATTAGCCAGGAGGGGCAGGGAGAGGGAGAATCCAGACAAGTAATGGTATATGTCAATTCTAGCACTCTCCTAACTGTGATACCCCTGCAAACTTTGTTTGCAGTCATTTCACTTTTATTAAATTGAACTACTTAGTTTTCCAAACCAAATATAGTGGATTGGAGGATTTGGCAAAACGTAACTACCAAGGTCACTTTTGGGAAGATGTTATTCGGTTCTCATTAAAGACAGAACTGAGGGGGGAAATGGAAAATTGGACACTGAAGCCATAGATATTTTCTGCATGTTCTCAGAACTGTGTATTGCTTATTCTAGGGAAGGAATGAAAGTATTATTTCTATTAATCACAAGCTGTCACAGAATTATTTCTCATTAAGAAAACTCATATGAATTTGTGAAACCTTACGTAAATGCAGAAAGATTATTGCTTTATATACTACCTGTTAAAACAAATATGCATCATTAAAAAAACAAAACTGTGATGTTTGTTATTAGTGTGGACTGTGACTAGAAGGAAAATGGGACAGACCCAGGTGTGGGTAAAAACCTGAAGCAGTTCACTGTATGCAGTGAAAGATCACAGTGGCACTCTGAAGGGGATAAATATCAATGAAGAACTTAAAGCCCCAAGAAAGAAAAGGGACCGTGTTGAGAGGTCAAGTATGTTCGATGCTACCCTCAAATGCATTCAGTAATGAACAATGAGGCAGTAATGAGGACGAGGCAAATATCTACTCAGACTTTTTATGCCTCATTAGTCAAGCCAGTGGGTATGATGGCTGAACCAAAAAACTCAAGGAAAACAATTAATTTTGGATCAACCCACATTTTTTTCATTTTCTCCCCAGAAAAACAATAAACTGAGAAGGGGATTTACCAGAGACAAAACATTTTGTCTTCAGTTTATTTAGTCCCTCTTTATTTTAGTTTTGTTAGTTAAACTGCAAGTGAAACATTGATAGTTTTGTTCTGAAAATGTTGCAAGGAAATGCTTAGTCCTTCCTAAATATATTTGCTTTCTGATTATTTTTTCTGAAACCATTTATGAAATTTGACCCAATTTCATAAATACTTTTATTCTCTCTTCATGATGTGTTGAACTGGTTAATCACATTCTCCATTGCCAGTATTTTCTTTCCCAGGAACAAAGACCACTCATGTTTTCTCCTTTTATCCTCTTAATTGAAAGGCATAATGCCTCATCACCAAAATACTTGAGTGTTTTCCATATTAAAAAATGCTCTCCATGAAACCGCTTCCCTTCACGTTGCCTTCTTGTAGTAGAGCAAGAGTGTGAAAATGAGAAATCAGTATAGAGAAATTGAGAGGTCTGTGCATGAGTGAAAAAAGATGAGGTTGAAGAGATGTTTTTTGTATGTGATTCTGAAAATGGCAGGATATTTGTCCTTTCTGAGGTTCTGCCTTCAGGGAGCAAGTGGAGGAATGCAACTGGTGTAATCCCTCGAAAGGAAGACAGATGCTACCTACTCCGAGGTAGCATCAACCTGACACAGAGTTTGTGTTCCAAGTCCAAACTCCTGAATTAAAAAGGGAGGGGAATGCATGTATTGTGTAGCTAGTACAGACAGAATAGCACTAAACCAAATTCTCTATAGTAGTGATAGCTGTGGTCTACTGAGTTTAGCAGCAATTTAGTTTTTTACCAAGGACATATATATATATAGATGTATATGTGTGTATATATATACACACACACATTTTGCTCCTTGGTATAGTGAGCCACAGTAATAAAAGCAACAAATACACAGACAATCCACAGGCCACTACAGAATTCCATGGTTCAATGTACAGTCTTTCTGGCTAGTCCCAGATAGGAGGATGAGAAGTATTTTAAAGCCAGGGATAATTTGGACAGCTGTTCTCTATAAAGTCAACAAGATCATAATAAGTCTATTAGTTTGACAATTGAAAGCCACACATCCCAAATGAGGACCAAAAAAATGCCAGTTCATTTTTTATTGTGAGGACTTTTCCCTCTTTTCAGACAAACGATCTCAAACTTGCTTAGACTGAGCTTCAGTTAATCGTTTTGCCACACTGAGCAATCCTGAAGAGGACTGTGCTGAATTCAGAGTAAAGAGGATGCCTTGCTCTGCTTCTGCAGTGGTTCTATGCGGATATTTGATAAGACAGAGCACAGGAACGAGCTGTTCGGGATGCTGCAGTTCAGTGCCCTGGAGATGGAGGAAAGCTGTCCACCCTGACTCAGATGCAGATCTCAGCCTGGTTCCCATGTAAATGACTTGAGAAGTATAATGTTTAGCTGCTAATTACATTTAGATCCTTTGGGGAACCCACCAAGATTTCTATGAATGTACAGTTCCAGCCAGTGAACAGACAGAATTAATCCATTGGTTTGCTCTAACAGGGGACCTAAAAAGAACAATTACTTACGCTGCTGTGATTGCCCTTCTTCAAGGTTAAATTCTCCATACAGATTCCACTGTTGTTCTTCACATGAGATGATTGTTCTTTGAAGAGCAATGAAAACTATTGCAGTAGCTATCCACTTATTTATTTTTCTCAATTAACAATCGTGCTTTTGGTTAACAATAATGATTTTTTTTTCGTTAGTGGCATCTTTATCCCTTGTAAGCAACATCTTTAAAAAATGAAAAATTTAAAGAATGGGAAAATAAAACTTGGGAGAGACTTCAAAAGGTTTTCTCATCGTAACCTGATTTTCCAGCAATGACTTTTCATAGCAGATGTTTGTCTTAACAAACAAAAACCGTTTGTTCTAAAAAACCTCCATACCTTCCCCACATTACCTGTTCTAATGCTTAACTCTTACTACAGTTACAACATTTTTCCTAATGACTTGATCTAAATTTCACTTGATGCAATTTAAACCTGTGACTTTCGTTTTCTCATCGTAACCTGATTTTCCAGCAATGACTTTTCATAGCAGATGTTTGTCTTAACAAACAAAAAACGTTTGTTCTAAAAAACCTCTATACCTTCCCCACGTTACCTGTTCTAATGCTTAACTCTTACTAATGACTTGATCTGAATTTCACTTGATGCAATTTAAACCCGTGACTTTCTGTCCACTGATTGTGCTTGGGTTTTCGTAGGCACTCTGCCTCTAGTTGAGATCTTGCCAGTGCTGAGATAGCACAAAGATTTCTTCAGTTGTACAGTCCGTTTTCCACAAAAGCATGATACTGTTAATTCACATTCAGCTTGCAGTCCCTTTATCCCTTGGTGCAGAAATGTTCCTTAAAATGACATTCATTGGCATAGGTTCATGAAATTCATTACTCCTGCATAAGGATCCTGCCTTTATGCCTTTCATTTGCCTTTTTTTTTTTTTTATAAATTAGTGCACTCACAAATTTGTGTATTTGCTCAAATATTGCATTCATTAATAATACAAATTCTTATAAGTTGGAAGTAGCAGAGTGGATGTATACTACTCCAGATAAGATCTTTGGTGTAAAATACTGTGATTTGTTATAATCAGTTCTCTGTTCAAGATAGTTTCAAGACAAGAAGTATGGGGATGTTACAGGGACACAATGCATGTGTGGATTCAGGAGAATGATCAGTAACTGACAATATAGCAAAAGACACTTTGTTTAGCTCTGTCAAACAAGAGGTAGCTGAGGCATGTAAGAGTCATAGCCTCATTTTACAACCAGATTTTCAAAGAAATCATGCTTTCATTAATAAAATGCAGGCTGTCTCTTGTTTCTTCACATTCTGGCTCTTGCAGATTCCCAGGTCAGATTTGATCAGGTGTTTATTCCTCTTCTTAATGTTTTCAGAAGGGAAATGGCCTTGCTGCCAGAATACTGCTGGGGCTACTGCATTCCTCTCCTGTATTGCCAGGTCTGTCCATGGGAATTCTTTGTGGAACAGAAACATGTAACACTGATGCCTAAACGTTACGTCAAGCAGTTCATACACCACCAAGCAGGTTCTCGTCGGCAGTCAGCATGGTCTGTGTAGGATACAATGGGAATACAGTGTTGGACTGCACCCTATGAAAATAAAGTAAATTTAAATCTGTAAAATAAGTTGCTACATTTTGGCTAGTCTGGATCATGTCAGGCTTTCCATGTCAGAGCCAGTTCATCTTTTAGGCACTATATTTTAGGAGAATCTCATTTATACTAGGGCACCTCTACAGTGTCAGGGAGGCCTTCCTAGCTGTAAATGAAGAACACCGTTTTCATGACAAAACTACTTTTCTTTCTAATATGGTATTTTTGTTTTTTTCTTTTAGGTGGAGAGGATTGTAGACAAAAGGAAGAACAAGAAGGGCAAATGGGAATATCTCATCAGGTGGAAAGGCTACGGAAGCAATGAAGACACCTGGGAACCTGAACATCATTTACTACACTGTGAGGAATTTATAGATGAGTTCAATGGACTACACGTTACTAGAGAAAAGCGGTCAAGACATGGGAAACAGGCCAGCGCTCCAAAATTTTTACGGGAAAACCGAGGATCATCTGTTGAGAAAATATCACATAGACCTGAATCTGGGAAGTCTAAAGGGTCAACACACAAAAGGAAGAGAATTAATCCATCTCTGCAAAAACAGAAAAGAGGATATGCAGCAAAGCCAGCATCTGCTAATGACAGGGCTGCTAAAACTGTGACTTACCGAACTACTCCCAGCGGTTTACAGATCATGCCACTGAAAAAGCCACATAATGGTCTGCAGAATGGAGATGGCAGTCATGAAAAAGATTCTAGACATTTTGGGAATGGCTCACAACAGCAAAACATGGATTTAAATGATCATGAAGGAGAACAAAATTTGCCCAGCGTGTTGGAAGTTAGTAATGATTCACCTGTTGTGAATGGAATCGGTATGTGATTTAAACAACTACGGTCTTTGGAGGGGGGAGGGTGTTAACTGCAGCAATTACAAATAGAGAGTCCACTCGTGGAAAAAGCATTGTCATCCTACGCAAGTGATATGGTGAGAAGCACATAAACAAGTTTTACGCTCTTTCCCCATATATTATACCATTTTATTATCAGTTGGCTTCTCTCCTTCCGTTTCCCATGGAGTGACAGGAAGGGCTTTGTTATATGCCTTTGCAGTGTAAAGTCCTTGTGGGGAAATGATGACAAAGCACGGAGTAGGAATGCCAAGGGAGGTATGTATAATACAGCAACTTTGGTTTTGTGTATCACCAAGTAACAAATCACTTCTCAGTTACGTGTGCTTAGACCCGATGGTCTAGAAAGATCAGGATTATTTTAGAAACAGAATTAATACCACTCTTGCTAGAGTATCCTGGTAAGTATGTCTGAATAACATTCAAGTTCCTCAGTATTAATACTAGTCGTATTCAGGAGTACTCAGAACGGCCAGGTCCTTGTCTCTGACTGACTGGATACATCAGAAAGTCGCAAGACATACTTTAAGGGAAGGTACAGACAGCCTTGAAGTGAACAAGACAGCTTGCCTATAGGAAAAATTTCTTTCAAATCCCCACAGTTACTCACTGGCTTAGTTCTCAAAGAAGAAAGGTTTGTGTTCTCTATAAAATACTAGGCAGTTTAATGCAACTAAGTAGCTCATTATTTGTATGTGTCCAATCTTCTTTCTTTTTTTTTCCTAATCCTACCAAACTTAAAGCTTCAATGATGTTTTGTGGCAGTAATTTCCAGGAGTTAACAATGAGATGCACATTTTATTTGATCAGGTTTTTGGGATTGGGGTTTTGTTTGGGTTTGGGGGGGGATTTTTTAACCTCTACTTTCACTGAATAAGCTCTTGCCTTCATATGAAAGGATAAAGAGGAAGACATCCTGTCAATCCGTAGGCAGCCCCAGCCTTTTTAGCCTTACTACCATGTGGAAGTCTTTCCAGATTCCTGGTAGCTTTCAGTATCCTCTTGTGTTTCAGTATCTACACGCCTTTGGCGGGGGAAGAGGGGTGTTTAATACCTTTTAAAACAGCAGGAGCTGTTCCAAATGATTTCCTACTGCTTACTGATATAGTGGCAATACAACCTTTTGAGAATTATTTTTTCTGCTGTTACACACTGCATAAAGGTTTTCATTGAGTGATACACAGTTGCTCTTAGGGGTTTTTTTCCTTGCTGGTTACAGTTAATTTAGAACACAGCTATATGTATGATTCCTTTCATTATGCATTTAATCTGCTTTACTGCTGCCAATTCACCTTTTTCTTATGACTCAGTGAAGCTCTTCAAAATCTTTCCTAGTTTTTACTCCACTTATTTTGTATTCAAATTTTCCTCTTACACTTCTCTTCCCAGTTCATTAATATATACATTAAGTAAACTAATCCTTCTGCAGGTCCTTGGGGCAGCCAACTACTGAACAGTTGACATGATGAAAAGTAACCATTTGTTCCAATTATTTATTTTTATTAGCCACTTTCTGTAGCCCATGATAGCACTCGTTTCCTTAACAGCTTCTTGTGAATTGCCCTGCCAAAAACTTTTCAAAAAGTCAACATAAATTATATCACCCTGCTTTCCATTTTGCACTCTACTGGCAACCTAGAAAATGCTACTTGATTTGGGAAGTAGAACTGACCTTGCCTAGTCTTACTGGTTACATCCTATAACTGCTGGGATTTTTCAATCAAATATCTTGTTGAAGACTCCCAAAACAGCAAAATGTATGGTCAGCTTTAAATGCATAGTAGCCCAGATGATGTCAATGACACTTAAAATTGAGAGTGCATGCTTTTGTATTTTGATGACTTTGAGTTCATACGAGACTGCTTTAAAAGTTAGCTGCTTTAAAAAGACTTGTATATCTAATTACATATGTGTATAAAGTTATTTTGCTTTGCTTTCTTACTGCTTCTAATGAAGTTTTTAAATCATTTGCTTTGTATTATTCACTGGGGAAGTTCTGATACAAAATGCATCTTTAAAATGCATTAATTCCCATATTTTAGAGTTTGGGGGTTATTTTAATGAAGAACTAAAGGGCGACAAAGAACTGTAAGGTCAGTTGAGCCATCCATTTGTCCCCACAGGAGCTAATGAATGGCATCCACCAGCCCCTGTTTGAATAATCCGTGTAAGAGAGCTGTATTTCAGTAGAAGCTGCTTTGCCTAAGCAGCCAGGTGTTCTGCCATGTCCAGTGGGCTCCTGCCTAACAGCTGATGTATGCAGCTCCTTTAAAACATTTCTTTATGATGGTTTTTGCATGCTCCAAATCCGTCACTTCTGTCTGTACTGTGCTGTCCTTTCTCCCTTGTATTCTGACCTCCCTGTAGGCAAAAGCAAAAGTTCTTTAAACCTCTACCTGGTTTTCGTCTGAAAAACCCATACTCAGCAGCACTCCCAAGGTCAGAAATTCCTCCAGTCTTGCCTTGTGATACCCCGCACATGCCTAGTGGAGAAAACTACAAAGAGGAGAGATGAGACTACCAAAGTAAGAGCAGAGGGAAACTGGTAAAGAAGAGTCAAAATAAAAATACTAGCTTTTTTCCTAATATTGCCCTACAAGCTTGAGAGAAGTCACATTTCCTGGCACAAGATTTTGCATCATCTGAAGTGTCAAATTGAAGAAACTTGCACTGTTCTTCAACCAGTCCAACAATTTACTGAGCTCCCTCAGTATTCACACTCACAGGGAAGTAGCACAGAAGATGCCAGTGTGATTCTGCCACATGTCCTGTCAGCATCACAAACTCATCTTAGACAGGATAAGATGTCCACTAAAACTGGTCTGAAATTTTACAAATTATAAATGAAGAAAGTTTCAAAGAAAAATGCCAATTTGTTGAATAATACAAGTTTTGTGCCAAACATCTTGGGTTTCAAAACTTTCTCCAAACCTGAGCCAAGGTCCCAAGGCTTTGTCCCTGGAGCCCAGGAGCCATGTGGCAGTCTGCTTGGCAGGACTCCCACGTTTAGCTTTGAGGCAGCCAGCTATGCCAGAGGTTTCAGGCAGTCTGCCACGGAGTCTGGAAGTCAAAAGCCCAGCATGCCCCATCAACACTCGGAGGGCTCCCAGGCACTATATGTAGAACAAAGAGGGAGCCTGGAGGACCTGGGTTTGGCTCCCAAAAGCTGTGGCTCCCGGGCAGAATCCAATGAGTAGACGCTTGTGTCAGCTTTGAGATTGCCTATATGGAGCCCAGATGAATGTCAGACTCATTTCACAGCTAAGTTTAAGAGTGCACAGAAAATGTATATAGAAATTTTAAGTTGGTCTTGACATGAAGCCTAGATTTGAAAAACTTAAAAACTCCCCACAGTTTGAAAATCCAGATATAGGTCCAGCTCTGCTTTCAGTCTTGGCCTGTGGTTGAAGGCCTCTGAAACCCATGAACTTGAACCAGGATTCTTTCGTATTATAATAATGTTTAACTACCAGTGTATTGAACCAAGCAGTATAATCAGTAATTTATAAACTATAACTAATCAAAAAATGCCTATTTTGTTTGTCTGTGGTATGCCAGTTCTGATGAAACAAATAATAGCTATTTGAAAACTAGTTTTTGATGACTCCTTGAATGGACTTTCACCAGCCTATGTTTGGTTTTGTGTATTACATCCACTTGACGATGAGTGTTTCCTGCTCAGCCTCTAGATAAAACTCTCACTAGTAAGCTACTTACCCCAGAAGGATGACTGTATAACTGTTTCCTACAGATGTATGCACAATATCGTATATGCAACATAGTGGAGGCCTGGAAGTTGGGACAGACCTTGCTTATCAAAACCTCTCTTCTACCTTCTGCACATCCCATCATAAGGAGAGTAGAGTCATCTTTATTGACCATTATTTAAGGGTCTGCAAATTGGAAAATGGTGGAAAACTCTGCAGGATAACATCCACTGATGCTCCCATGAGCTAACAATACTGTTCTTTCTGATTATATTTGTTGTCTTCTGTTACCACATTTCTGTTTCTCCCCAGATATTGTAATTGAGAGTGATTGTTTTGTCAAGTTTCTTGACAGCATCAAAAAACATCCCCTTTTAATTTTCTCTTTCCCTTTTCTACATCGCTCTATTTCTGTACCATCTGCTGAAGAATTTTTGCTTGTCATGTATCACTAACCACTGTTTTTCTCCATTACGAAAATCTTTGTAGTCTCATGGTGCCCTTAATTTAAATACTCTCTATGAACTTAGTCACTGCTTCCTCTTGGTTTTTTTAGCTTGTTCTGTTTTATTTATCCTGGAGCAGTACTGGCAGTAAAAGACAACCAAATATGCTTGCTTTCTCAGTTTGGATAAAATCTCATTGCTTTTAGATATCTTACAGATGCTCCCTTAGCGGAGAAGTCTGAAATTATTAGTAAATTATCAACAGAAAACTGCTCTTAAGTATGTGCAGTATTAACCATTACCCACAAGAAAGACAGAAAGGAGACAGAGAAAGATTGTTGGGAAGACTGAGGAATGCCAAGCTGTTTTACCAGGAGAGCGAGGGAGCGTGGTTTATTTCACCTAGCAAAATGAAATCACGATCCTTTTGTTCAGCATAAATGCATGCTGCTCACAAAACCCTTCCTTCCCATGACAGCCTGATCGTTATTCCCATCCCTTCCCCTGCACCATTTTCAGTACTTTTGAGGCTACCAGGGGAACCTGATCTGTTTGAAAATTAACCACGGTTTTGCCGGGTGAGTTTCCAGCCAGAACAGTTCATCAGGTTGGTTCACAGTATGGCTACCTACCTGCTAGTTACCAGCACAAGCATCAGTACTTAGGGTGGTGGCACAGAGACTGCTCCATCAAACTGACTGTGATCAAACACTAAGAAAAGATACACCTGAACAACAGTAGCTTGAGGTGTCCTCTTCTAGCAGATAGAAGGAGATGGGGAGATCCAAGTCCTCTTAAAGCATTGAGTGATCTGAGGCTCACTGCGATCTTTTCTCTCCTTCCTCTGCCACTCTTTGCCTCATCTTTTTAGACTAAAGATTTCTAATGTGTTTTCTGCAGTGCCTAGTATTATGGAGGTCCAGTCTCGGGCTCAATCTGGCATCTTTAGGAACTTTCTAATGCCAACAGCAGCAGCAGTAACATCGTTATATGTTGTCCCCTTTGGGAGTAGTGGAGTACTAGAGAAGGTACAGGGACAGGCAACTAGAGTGAGGAGGATTACAAGAATAAGAGAGGCTTCAGTTAGGAGAGGGGGAGGCTGAAAGGGAATATGATTGAAGTTTACAAAATCATCAAGGCCTCAGATAAAGTAAATGCAGAACTGTTGTTCACTAAATCCCTCAAGAGCTGAACTAGGGACCACTCACTGAAACTGGTAGAACATCAGATAAAAGCACAGATGAAAGAAAATTCTTCTCTGTGTTGTGGCTACACAACTTCTCAAACTCATACCACAGGAGGCTGTGGAGACAGACAGCATCAACAGGCTCAAAAGGGGATTAGAGAAATCCATGAAAAGGTCCACGAGCAAATACTGAAGGAAACAGGAAGGCTGAGTCCTCATTGCTATACAACACTTAGGGATGGTACATGGGGAAGGGAGTGCAGAAATGGCTAAGCTTGCATTTGCTCCTTAAATAGCATCCTTTACTGCCATTCTTGGAGAAGGATTACTAGATGCACCAATGGTCTGGGAATATCTGACGTTCCCTTTAAAAATATTGAAACTTCTTCTAAACACCACTGTGTTTTTAGGTATTCCACAAGTTAACAACAAGGTAATAATTAGATTAAACTCCCACTAAAGGAAGGAATATTTTCTCTTGTTCTGTTTTCTTTTTGTACTTAGACTGAGCATCAAATACTACTAAGCCAGTAAACCACATTTAGAGGTACCTAAAGTTTTCTTAGATAATTTGTGACATCCCTTATTTGTTTCACATGCGGTATAGATTGCTTTGAGAATGCCTCTTTTTTCCTACGTCATTTTTCATCTTGACATACTAAGGTGCTGTTACCCTTGTATGTATTAAGCAGGTGCTAATTATTAACCCTCATGCAGAGACAATCCATGTGCTTTAGTGGCTCCAGAGCAAACCTTCAGCAGCTCCATCACAATCCATGCCACGGACACTGTAACTGTCCTGCTTTCACTTGAGTGTTGTCTTTGGATTTTCCTGATCATTTTCTCCAGTTTATCAGATTAAGCAAAATTACGAGGATGTATGGTGTACGCTGAAACAACAATTTACTCACTATATGTTGATCTGTTAATCATCCATTCTTGGAAATGACACTTTTCCATTTGTGTTTCTCTCATATTTGAATTAGGTCTTTCTTTCCCCAGGTGAAATTTCTGTCAGCTGGTGTGCAGATAGTTAAAATATTGTGATAAGATCTATAGTTTCTTACATCATATGTTTAATTTACAAACTGAATACATTAGTCAAGACTACAACAAAAAATGAAAGTTATTACTATGAGACTTTTTGTTGAGTTGGATTATTATCTGTGTGAATTAACCTTCTACCATTCTCTAACCATCTTCATTTAAAGTAGATGTGGCATAATCTTCAACACTAGGTAGATAATCAGTGCAGTTAGTCTGACACATCTTCCATTCAATGTTCATTTGCACCTCTGATTTATAAGTTCTTTACACTTTTGGGGTAGATTTAACTCTTCACATCTTAGTATCTTATTGCTGGCTCAAGCAACATTGTAAGGATTGACTAGATAAAAATGCAATATTTAAAAGTCTGCCTCAATCAAATAATTTTTTTTTTCAGTATATTATTCCCAATGCTATTAGTTTTCCATTAGTAATTTCATCAGTTTATTTTTGTTTGTAAGAATAGATGTCAAAATATATGCAGTAGCAAAACCTTATGAAAAAGAAGAAACATGCCATAAGAAATTATTAATATTTTTTAAAATTCAAGCACATGGTGATTTCTACACTTGTAGATAATTCTTGTCCAGAAGACAAATTTTGAATTCTGCTGGCTTCAAATGCTTTTCTTTTCAAATTGATCATCTCACATAATTTGTCAATGTTTGCATTGCATCAGTTGAATCTCCTTATTTAATATAATATAGGCAATACTTTAGATGGTATCTCTTAATTTACCAATGGAAAAGAATTTTAAGATTGACTGAAATAGCAGACGTTTTAACAAACATGCATCTCTGTGTGTAGGTATATGTGTACACACATGCACACATTTAACTGGTATACCAGTTAAATACTGTTAAGGACTCTGTATTTTAACATCACATATCAAGCATTTCACACACGGTGAACAACTCCCCAGGCCACTGCCAACTGAGAGGTACCAGACAGTTCGGTTACCTACATAAACATCAAGTTGAAACATAGCTAATCCAAAATAAGGATAAGTGATTTTGGTTTAGAGAGTCATCTGTTATGAATTCACCATTCAATTCTGTTCCAACAGAGTATTTTTAATTGGATAATGGTCATTTAAACCATAAAATTTAAATCTATGTTCTAACATTCATGTCATCAGCCCTTTAAAAATTCCTGGCTATTTGATACGAGAAGCTGGAACAGGTCAGCTTTGGCAGGAGTAAAGAACGGAACAAACAACCGTGTTTTCATTCAGCTCTTTCTTGGCCTTTCTGAAATACAAAGTATTGTGGGCTCAGGTCTATTTCAACAAAAAACAGATTTGGAAACTATTTCAATGAACAGAATGACTTTAATCTCCCTTCCTCAACAACCTGTCTCTGCTTTACTTTGAATGGCAATAGTGTGAAACATACGTAATTAGAAAAGGAGTATTGCATAAAAATCTTCTCAACATTCCAGCTCAGCATTGTTACCAATCATAATATATTGCCTATTAGAGAGGAACTGTAAACATAAGCAAAGTACTAGTTTACGGTTTGTACGCAGTGTAAGTCAGAATAAACTGTCCTTCAAAATTGACATCCTATTACTCTCATTTGTTTTTAAGGAGAAACTATATCTTTCTTGTCATAGTTCCCTTTTTTCCCTACTGCTGGATACCCTCCAAAATGTCATCAACATTAGTATTTTCTGTGTACAAAGTCCAATATTAATGTCATACCTGTTAGTCAAAAGTCAGTAATTATTTTTACTGTAAAATGTAGTAAGTAGAAGCTTGGGATCAGAGCAAAGAGGATGGCTAACTGCTACTTCTAATGCTAACCACAAGGATGCATGGAAGAGAATGCCAGTTGTGTCAGCTTAGTAAGGACTCCCTTAACTTAGTGTCACATAGAGGTGTGCAACAGGTGTCTGTTCAGGTTGTCATTTGAAGCTGATCATGACTTTTTGGTCACCATAAAAGGAAGATAGCGTAACTTTGAAAGATGGGATTTGGTCTAAACCTGTCATGTCAAGTTCTTCCAAAAATGAATTAGATGTTCCTATGAATTCAGGGATCATCCCAAATTCATATGAAAGACTACGATATAATTGCTTTCATCTTCAAAGCAGAACTGAATCCCATCGAGAGTACCAGTCCTACATGCTATATAATTCTTGGATCTAGAGGTTGTCTGATCAGAGAACAAAAAGTACTGCATGTTAGAATAATAAGAATAATTAGAATAGTAAGAATGGCTTGAGGCCACATTTGACTAACCAGGCATATTTTTGATTTACCAGATTTATCACGTAGAGGCTATTGTAAATACTGAGCTATGTTTAAGCTAACAGGATGGACCACTCCATTTCTTTGAAGGTACAGACATGATTATGCTTTGATTCTTTCCATCTGAAAGGCTCTTCTCTGGCCAATGGAAGCTTGAATCTACACAGCACTGTGAAAAGGAAACTAGATGGGGAGAAAGATTATGTCTTCGATAAGAGACTAAGATACAGCGTACGTCAAAATGAAAGTAACTGCCGCTTCAGGGACATTGTAGTCCGGAAGGAAGATGGTTTCACACATATTTTGCTGTCAAGTCAGACTTCGGATAACAATGCATTGACCCCAGAGGTAAGCATGTAGCCATAAAAGCCAAAGGCGGCCATCCTAATGTCTGGGTTATCTTGGAAACACTGCATTTGAACTGGATTTTATGTATTTTTATCCTAATTTATTACCTTAAAAAAGAAATACAGAGTTCAGATACAGCTAACTTTTTCACGCTTGGGATTCCTATCAAAAAGAATGCAATGGAGATTAATTTTTAATTTACATGTCTGAAACCGAAAATTAGAAGTAAGAAAGGAATGGTAGAATCAATATTTCCAGTTGTACGAAGCAGTTGTTCACATGTTGAAGTTACTGATATTTACTATCTTTAGGAGAAATCTGGTCTCTCTCATTTTATTAATTTAAGTAGTGCTCCAGTTCTTGCATACAGAGGAATTTCAGGCTATAGCCTGAGACAGTAATTCTAAAAGTATACCTTGATCCCTAATTGCTTTTTCTCTAAATCACTTTGAGTCCTTGTTTATGAAATCTTAACCAATTAGGGGCTCCATTCTCAACTGAATTGCATAAAGTCGTACAACACATAAATGGTATTAATGAGTTCCCTTATTCCAAACATACAGTTACGGTCAGACTTGGACTTGTAGCTTGTACTACTCCAGTTACATATATTGGTCACTGGAAGGGCTGAGAAGTTCTTCCTTCCATTCCCTGTGATCCCAGCATAGTGGGCAGCGATGCCCCTGTGTACCTTTCCCATGTTGGAACAAAAGGGGTGTCAATAAATGCCTGCATCAGGATGCACGTCTGGGAGAGCAGAGAACACGCTTGAGCCCTGTTCCGTGCAGGCAGTAATGGGCTGATGGAAAGGGGTTACCGTAGATCAGAGAGGAAACCACAGGAGCTGCCTCCCAGCACCAGTTTTGCCCGCCTGAGCATTCTGCAGGCAGAGCTCCTCCACAAGCTGCCCGGAGCATGGCACATCTCTACCTTTTCTGCCCTCCAGACACACCAGTGCAGCTCTGTCTTACACAGTAACTTCAAGATAAGAGTATACAAAATACCAGTTTGGGCACCATTTGAGGGAAAAGGAGACTGTAGCTTTGAGGAATTATTTTATTCAATAAGAAACTGAGTAACTTTGAAATTAATTACTTGTAATGAGCTTCAGATAAAACCACTGGCAAGTATGATGGGCCTTAGATTTTACTCCCCTTCCCAAATGCACACCTACACATGGCCATTAATACCCAGAATAATACTAAATAGTTAAAACTGTTAGAACATACATTTATCACTCCTAGATTTTAAACTGTATGATATTAAAAGGACTATCTTGGTAATTAACACAGAACACCAAACACCTGCTTTTAATACTAATTCTTGAAAACGCATTACATTGCATCAAATCCGTGTATTAATTACCACTAATTGACACTGCAGGTAATTTAAACAAAGAGCTCAAGGGCCCTGAAAATGTATGAAATCAAGGACTTACTGTGTTCAGGCTGGACAGACATATACCTTTACGTTGCTAGCTGTGCTGTTACACATCATCAGTGTTCAAATGCTCTAACCAGTGAATTAATTCAGGCTCTTCAGGTCTGCCAAACCAATCTGTTTCATTCTTTGAAAATTTTCAATATGCCAGGAACCCACCTCTGTGGAAGAATAAATGATAAGCATGTAATAGTAGTCCTCTTCTTGCATCACCGGAATAGACTATTTCTAAAACCTTTATTGAAGCTCACTTGAAAACCAGGAAATACGTTTTAGAAAACTACATTACTGACCAGGATCTGGATGGTCAGGAATTAATCAAGGTAATGAGTTCTCCACATTGAAATTGTCTGTTTAAAACTCATCCAGGCTGAGAGCAATTGAAAGCTCTTGCTCTCTGAAGGCTGCTTGCTGGCAAACATGAAACGACTTCTTTGGCCTCGGTCCAGGCTGCAGGCCATGATCGTTCACACCACAAAATCCAGCACCTCCAATATTGGCAATTCCACATCCTTGATGGCAATTATAGCAAAAATCCAAGAAACTGAAAGGAGGAATATGGTGAATGCCTTGTCCCTACAGTTTGTCACACATAGCCATAGCTGAGACAAACAGACAGTATTTTAGGGACATTTACAATATTTTGAGTTTCAACACCTTTTATCACCACTGAATAAAAAGTACAAACAAAAAATTCCTACAAAATGAAGAAAGTGTGTTTCATTTTGTTAAAAGAAACACTAACTTCAAAGTTTATTAGACATACGGTAAATTATGTTTGCCAAATAGTAAAGTATTAATTTACTCAGAGCAGGTCTACTTGGTGTGGTTAAAATAGTGCTCTGGTTATTCTTGGCCACCGATGTTAGGAAAAAAAGGGAAGGTGTGCATTGCCCACGATCATTATAAAATTCAGCTTATACAAAATCACTCTCACCCCTAACAACCCTGCTTCGCTTTGTGCTTTATCTTAATCTTCAGATGCAATTTAATAGTTTTGTTCAACCATTGGCCTCTGCTATTTATGCCAATTTAATTAAAATAACAAAGAACTTCTTTATTTAAAAAAAAAAAAAAAAAAAAAAGCTTAGAGAAGTCTGCCTGAATCTTTATCCTGTGTTTTTGGTAACCACGTCACACCTGTGCGTTTGTGTAGGTGATTTTAGCATGAAATGTGCCGATGCTCCTTCCAGCAGCATTTGCACTGATTGAAGTTGGCTCAGTGCCACTTTAGTAATGGAGTTTTTTCTAGAAAAATGTTTAGGGCACTATAGAAATTCTTTCTTATGTTTTACAAGACCTTATAAAACTTCCAATCCAGTGTCTTGAAACAGCACAGCTTGTTTTTATTTCAGTGGCTTAGGCTTGCTACTTTTAAAATTCATTTTTAAGATAGATATGTAAAATATTTCATTATTATAAATTCCACTAGGGCATTTTCTCTCATGAGTCTTTTGCTGCTTCTGAAGTTCTTTCTCCAGTGATGATGTTGCTGGTTTAACTCAGCACAATTCAAGCATCCAAATGCTATTTCAAATTTAAGATTAAATGGATCCATCCACTGTTTTTACTTTACACTGTTAATAAAGCTAGGAATTAATATTCCCCTGAATTAAAAGCAAAACATACCCTAAACAGCAAACGTTTCCATTGCAGACTGATATAACTACCTCAAGTACAGTTCTCATACAAAATAATCAGGTTTCAAATTTCTAGCCATGAGAATTAGTGTTTGAAGTTCTACCAGGTGCATTGCTTTGCCTTCACTTTTCCGAACTTAAAAAAAAAAAAAAAAAAGCAGGCAAGTTTACTATTATCTGTATTTTTGCTCTCATACAAGGACACATTGATCTTTTGCCCCGTACTTCTGCCTGAAGCCAGCCACATAGGTTCCTAAGTACTTTATTTATCAAACAGAAAGGACTCAGAGTCTGTTTGCACAAACAGTCAGTAAGTAACAGTGTATTTATGTGAAAAGGTACGCTCGTGGAAGAGGTTCTACGAACAACTGAATGGCTTTAAACTTTTGTTTTACTGTAATATTTGCAGAATATTTACCTTTAAGAACATCAACAGTGAATCCTTAGAGATTCAGAGAAGTTAACCTTTTAGACTAGTATTTCTGTTTATATGAACAAGAAGCGTCTGTTCAAGATACTTTGTATAATTACAGTGATAAATTCCCAGCTTCCTGATTTCCCCGGAATGTAAGCAGTATTGAAAGCAACGGGCACCAAATGCCTTTAAAATTTCCAACATCCAGTGAAAGGCATTAAAAAAAGCTCTTAGAAGTGTAATGACATTTTCAAACATTTTGTGTTTATTTTGCAATATAAGGTGTCCTATTAAAGAACTAACCAACATATTTTCTTGGCAAGATTAAAAAAATAAGCAACTTTTGAGAAAGTGAACATTTTATTATATATTTAGGTTTCACTAAAACAGTAAATGAAGCATTAGACCTGGTGTAAATTTATAATTTGATAGATTTTCATAAGCAAAGGAACTGGCCCAAACCATTTTGTAAATACTTCCTCAGAAATTTTAGTCAAATGCATGCAAATAAAAATATTGTCCCCACAACTGAAAATTCACTAAAATACCATTAAAAAGCTGATTTTAAAAAGCATGGAACTGGAGAAATACTGCTGTGGAGCCATGCAAATAGTAATATTAGATCTGGTCCACCAGAGAAGGTAAAATTTAATTGGACAAATGCCACGGTTATACCAAAATGAGGGCAGGTTTAAGGACCACGTAAGAAAGAAAAAGAATGCGGAATCTGACAAAGAACTATACCTAAAGACACATAGTATCTCTATATGTGCAAACTGAATCCACTACTGCTTTAAATGGTAATACATACTTAAAACCAGGCAGCAGTTCTGAACTAAAATTATATTTACTTTATAGTACTCCAGTTTAATAGCCAGTTCTGTAACCCTACAGACAGACCATCCTTTTTATCTGTATTTTATTGTTAGTAGGTTTCCTATAATCGTATAAACATCTGTAGAGAAATACCCATACCCCGATAATCAGTGAGGGAAGCCATGATGCCAGGGGCATCGGGGGCAACAGTGGGCACAGGTTGGCTGTAACTAGGCTGAGTTACAAGGTGACCAGGGGAATTGGGACTGCACCAGCAAACGAATCGTGGCATAAAACAAGGGAGTGAGAATTGACTTTGCTGGCATTGGTGTATTCCAGTGAGCCTCCAAGCACCTTTTGATGATAAAGTTAATGACAAACTTACAGATATTTAAAAAAAGTACTTTTTGGAGAGTGAAAACACCAATACATTATGGTTTCCTGGTTTCTGATACTGTTTTCTTTTGCTAGAAACTAGTAGAGCAGTGGAACTAAACTTCCACTCGTGCTTAAAAATGCTATCCAAAATACTGTCAAAGCCTTCCCATTTTCAACCATGTCTGAGAATCAGTTCCTAGTAACAGCCTTTTAATACCACCCTGTCCAAAACATTGAAAAAACAGTTATAGCAGAATATTGTTCTTTTACTACAAGTAGTATAACCTCTGCTCAAAAGTTTGTTATACCTTTAGATGGCTTTAGCCATCCAAATCAATGAGGGGTAAGATAAAAAAGAGACAGATTTGTAATGATAATGATGTATTTGGAGGATAGCAGTGCTAACATCAAAGAGATGGTGCATATGCAAATATCACTGAAGGAAGGGGAATGGAAAAGAAACTTGCTGAATGGAGTATCCTGTCGTGGCACATGGTTTAACCCTCCTCATTGTATATAAAAATGTTTTACAGGCATTCTCTGATATTGCTTACACAACCTCCCTAAGAAAGAGCATTGAAAATAAGCTAAGAGGACAATCTGGCATTCACATGGAACTAGGAAAATCAAAATTTGTATTTTTTTTATTCTAATATCTACCACCTTCTAAAGTTTCTTTTTTAACTTTGAACACAGGTTTTAGGGTTTTTTTTCCTTTGTTTCCCCTTTACAAAATACGCAGTTTTGTGATATTTTTACCAACTGAGGGCTGACACAGCCTCTGAGACTCTGAGGATATACAGTACTTGTAAAATCACTGATGACATTTTTATACCTGCACAAGAATTTCAAATACACTTCCAAATTCTGCTGCTTTTAATTACTTCACTTCCACCCACTGTTACGTACTCGGTATTACAGGCGTTCTGAAGTACACTTCTAAAAATGAAGCATCTAAAAGTTCCCCACCTGCTTTCTCATGTCCCGGCCTCAGCAGCCAGTAAAATCATTTTTACGCAAACACATCTGGAAAGCAGGCAGGTAGCACTGCACTGCATGGCTCGAATATACAAGTTCAAGCTTGGTCTCACAAGCCACAGCATTTCTAACAAAAGGCTACCTAGAATGGTATAAACAAAACTTCTGTTCTGTTTTTAGGGACATTTCCTAAGTAAGGCACTTCAGAGATCTAAAGAATTTTTGGAAATAGAAAGTGGTGAATAAAAATAATCACAAGCTAAAAGTCTTGTTTTTCTCTCGTGTGAAAACCATATTTAATCCCCCAACCACATTTTGCTATCCTTAACCTAAATTTACACTTAACAGCAAATCTTCCAGTACAAAGGAGAAAAATTTGACACAACAGGACCCTGTCTATAGGACATACTTTGACACATGAGTACGTTTAAGCATAGGAGATGTCACACGAGATGAAGTCACGGCCCTTGAAGTGATGAGCAAATCACTAAAGAGAAGAAGGGAAGCTGAAATGGCTGAAATCAATTACAGCTTACAACCTGCTGAATTGTGACCAAACGTCAGTTTGACATCAAGTTACCCGTCAGAAGTTTATGAAATAATATTTCCTTTTAAAAATCACTAGAAAAACAACTCTCTGCTCAGAGGAGAGGCCATTTTCTTACAATACTAGCAGCTCAATTCTATACAGATTTCGATTAGGTTTGATTTATGGTGCAATTAATAGCTTGATCCAGTTGTAAATCAGAGTCAAAATGTCTCTCTTTCAAGTGGCTTTTTTGCTCTAACTTTCGTAGACTTTAACAATATCACTGACCACAGAGAAATGAATAATATATTTGTCATGTCAATGTATATGATGTCCTTTTGTCCTGCTTTGCTCTGGTTGAAGTCATATAAACCAAAGTAGTTGAAGAACTGAAAACTGGTGTTTATAGATTTTGCTTACGACCTATTGACCTTAATAGGCGATTGCTGTGATAACCGTGTTACTGAGGATACAGTGATGTACAGTGAATATACACAGTGAAACTTAAAAAGTGATATTTGAAATTATTAAATTGCAATCAACTAGCACAAACTGGCTAGAATTTCCCATAGAATAAGCAAAGAACAGCCAAGTCCTAATAACTCTTCGAATTAGTAAGCACCAACAAAGCACTTCCAAATATAAAATATTTCTCAGTGTTATCATTCAAAGTATATTAAAATTATATAAATATATATAATTGATGTAAGTATTAATAGTGCCCAAAATTTAAGTCTCTCAAAATCAGTAAGGTTTGTAAAACTAGGGAAATGATATTGCAACGGCATGCATGTCGAATTGTTTACTTTTCTTTATCCACAGATCATGAAGGAAGTTCGGAGAGCATTGTGCAATGCATCAGCTGATGACAGTAAACTCTTACTTCTCAGCGCAGTGGGAAGTGTATTCTGTAGTGGCCTAGATTACTCATATTTAATTGGCAGGTTATCCAATGACAGAAGAAAGGAAAGCACTAGGATTGCAGAAGCTATAAGGTGACCCAAGCTTACCTATGATCTCTAAATTATGAAATGCAGTGTGTGATTATAAAGATATTTATCAGGTCCAAAAATGTTGTATATTTAAATGTTGATTGCATTCTAATTATAGTCCTACAGATTTTTTTAGTAAGAAGAACCTTGGACCTTTCCATATGAGAAAAGAAAGCACCTTTATTCCAGTGCTAATATCCATAGGGATTTATTTTATTCCAATTCTCTGTATTTAATATTTCAAATCATTCTTCCAAATTCAAATACAACTTTGTTGTTGTTTTTCCAAATTAGCTATTGCTTCATGTTCTAAAGTGGTTCCTGAAAGGCAGATATTTTACTTGTTTTAATGTTCGTCATTTTAATGAATTTCAGTACAAATGGGAATCCATGGCTTACTCACATTCTGTTGAAATAGCAGTCTGCCACTGTGTTTCAGAACCTTATTAGAAGGGTCTCCACTTTTTTCTTAACCTTAAATTATTTAATATATATGTAAATGTAGTTTTATTTTCATAACTAAAATGTGACTTTCCTTATATATATATATATCACATTACCTTAATAGAAATCCAGGGTTTATGACATGCAGTCTACAAATCAATCTGCAGAATACATCACCAAATATTTCCATTATCCACAAGGTATACTTTACACATATTTGGCAGCTCTTCCAGTGTAAATCAACATTACTCCACTAAAGCCAATGGTATGTCACCAGTCTGTACTTGGAGACGTTTTGCTCCCTTTTTTGTTTCCCCACTTCCTACAAATAAATATTATTTTTCTGAGAGCTTTAAAATTTATGCAACAATTCTATGAAGGAATATTAAATAATTTGTTGATCCATATTTTGCATGTATTAGTATAACATAAGATCAGGTTTAGTTATTATATGACATGTGTTAACCACCAATTGTCTTGGTTACAACTTCTATAGACCAGTTTGGATTCTCAATTTAATACTTTTTAAATTCTCAAATAGTAATTATTTTGAAAGAATTTAAAATGTATTTCTTAAACATAATAAATTATGACATGTTTTTAAGACCCTAGCTATGTTTGAATATCATGTAGTGATATTTAAAAAAAGAAAAACCTTTTAACAGACACATCCTAGTTTATTATTTTTTTAATGTGAGGGATTTTTAATAATGTGGAACCTGAAAAAAGGTGAGGGAAAAAAATCACTATTCTTGTTTGAAAACACAGGCACACTCACACTCCATTAGAAGATACCAATTTAATATTATTCATGTAAATATTGTGTAGATAGGTATTGTTATACATGTATACATTCATCTACACACATTTAATATACAGGTATACTTATCAATTCAACATTTAAACGACTATAAGCCAGACTATGATACTCAGTTTTTCCATCCCTGGACTCACAGAACACTCCTGAAATGCTGGTACAATGTACTGCTTCTTGTCAAGAATGTTGGCTTCAGGCCCACTGGAAATAGATTTTTATTGTACTTCTGGAAACAATACACTACATTTTCCATTTAGCACTCTCTGTGTTTTCTGTGAACGAAGGACTCAACACATGGAAAATACACTGTAATAAGAGTGGAAAAAAATGTACACTTCGCTTTTTCAGTGGTTAGGATGTCCTAAAACACATTAATGGATCTCTGCCTCCACTGCTTTACATGAAGTTAGACTTGTATCAAAATGAAACTAAAATCTTGATTACCGTGTGTTTCCACTTTCTAAAGTATGGATCTCATATACTGATCACAAGTTAAAACTGAAGTTTAAATACCCCTCAAGTCTCATCTAACATGAATGCTTTATTCATTTGGCCCCTGTCCTCATCCACTGCCTTTGGGGATTGCAGCTCACAGATGTGTGGCAGTGTAGCTTCTCTCCAGTTCTCTCTGAGCATAGATCCATCAGCCTGAGCTGCCATTATCCTGATGTGTGTCCAGCAGTGCACTCCTGGAGCAGGGAAAAGGCAGACAGACAGACTGCACTGCAGCTGTGCATACGTGGCCTGCAGTCAGAAGGCTCGCTGGAATGATGCATGCCCATCGCATCATCAGTCAGGCATCGTTATGTGACCCAATACACAAAATTTGGAGTGTGCTGAGAAGAAAACAAAGAAAGACAATTTGACTTGCTCAACTTCCTTATAGCCTTTGACATACTTAGGAGCCCTGACCTGCAGCAAGACTTCTGCAACAACGAAGAGGTATCTGAGCATCCCAAAGTATATTTGATGGTCAACTTCCCAGATATCCTCTAGCAAAACCAAAAGCCTTCTGCATGTGACACTTTTTCCTGTCTTGGAGCTTCTGGGTCTACTGTGCAACAACAATTTTAAGTCCTTTTCAAAGACTGCCTTAAAGTGAAACGAGAATCTTCTAGCCCAGAAACTACATGTGTGAACTTATGGTTTGGAGACATAGAAACATGCCAGGTGCTGGGTACCAAGATGTCTCACTGAAACAGATAACGGAGCAAACAGGGAACACAGATAAGTGGAGTGCTGGACTCTGCAGCTTCTGTAGGCCAAATGCGGGCATTTGTTCCCCTCGTAAGCTCCCAATATGGTAGCCTTCCACTCCATCCTATAGGTGGCACGTTCCATACCCATCTATTGTACCACCCTCTGTGGTCCCCATCCTTCCCTCATAACAAAGGCTTATTGTGCTCACAGTGCTCGTTTCAGCAGCACGTATACTAAAATTGGAACAATACCAAGAAGATTCCTCCCAATACTTAAAGGGGGCCTATAAGAAAGATGGGAACAGACTTTTCAGCAGGGCCTGTAGCAACAGGACATGGGGTAATGGTTTTAAACTGAAAGAGGGAAGATTTAGACTAGATCTAAGGAAGATATTTTTCACAGTGAGGTTGGTGAAACACTGGTCCAGGTTGCCCAGAGAGGTGGTAGATGCCCCATCCCTGGAAACATTCCAGGTCGGGTTGGATGGGGATCTGAGCAACTTGGTCTAGTTGAAGATGTCCCTGCTTATTGCAGGGGGTTGGACTAGGTGACCTTTAAGGGTCCCTTCCAACCCAAAGATTCTATGAAAATGGTGAAATTGTGTCTTAATCAATGTTCTGTTCCACTCTCCCCATCTCCAGGTCCTCCCTTCTTTGCTCACTCATATGAAGATCTCACATTTCCTTCAACCCTTCCCCTCCATTAATGTGTTCTGCTTTGTTCTTCCTCCCCATCATCTAACTGTTTCCTCTCCACGTCCCTAATTGCTTTTCCATATTCAGTTCTAGTCCCATTTATCACCACATGCTTCCTGCTTTTCTCCACAACACTGTTTTCTTCTGCCTCCACATGGTCCTCAGATCTGCTGCCACCATTTATCCCTAATTTGTTCTTTTTACCTATCATTTGTCACATCCCTGTTCCCATCTGTAGTCTTACATGGAAGGTTTACTTGCTTAACCACTAAGGTTCTCAAAATCCTAGAATTAATCAGGTGCAGTGATCCACAGTCATTACTCAACCATAAACAAGCAAAGAAATAACAAGATAAGGGAACCGCATTGCTTCTGCAAACAAAAATGAACCACAACTCTCCTTAATCCTGCTATCCTCTAGAAAGAAATGGTCTTGAACAGAAAAATGTGATGTTCCTTATTTCACTCTTTGTCTTGCCACTGATCGTCCAGTTTGTTACTCAGGGTGTGAACTGAGCTGCATCAATTCCCACGAGTCTCTATTTTCCCATGGTCAAAAATCAACTCCTTACTAGATAGCCTGAAAAACAGAACTCATTCGCTGAACATTTAATGCTGGGTCACCCCAGACTCTTCATTTTCATTTAAATTACAGCCAATGCCCTTGTACTCCAGTCCAATAAAATACTTCTCTTCAGTCTGTTTTCCGTTTTGCCAAATGGGCACTCTAACCTGCAAGGCACACCTCCTGTTCTCAGATGCAGAAGTCTAGGTCTTTTTGACCTCAGTGGGAGAGCTGCAACTCATCAAAGGGCACATTTGACAAAAATGTTCTTTCCTAAAATCTGTCAGCAAAGATGCACTCTGGACCTAATAAATACCCAGCGCAGTAACAGACTGTCCTCTTTTGTTTCAAATTTGATTTATACGTGTCTCTTTTCTAAAGTAATTGAGCATCTCGTTTGCCTCCATATACCTGCTGTGCACTGAGCTGCTGGAGCCCATAATTTGCCC